AGAATTGTACATTTGTTTAAAAAAACCCTCAAATATCTTCAAACAAACCTTTGCATAATATGGGACAGGCTGGCTTGTCTAGGTGCTGAGGTTCAATGGGAACCGGCAACCGGGCTTTGTCGTACGCAACCGCATTTTGCCTGAAATGTTGGCAACTTGAATAATTTCAAAACATCTTTATTTTAAGTGAGCATTGTGTATATCGAGTAATTCTGGGGAATTTGGCAGAATTTTAATAAATCTGGCAGAGTTTTGAAGTGCATTTAGCATATTTTGGCCATACCTTACGGTCACCCTGGTCACTACATAATATTGTGACCTAGTTGCAATGGCTTTTGCAGTGGGGATAGGAGGTAACTCCCCCTCCCTCCATGACAGAATTATTGTTATTGATTTGTTTCATTTTATAGATTTTAGTTTATTTGTCCATAAATGGTATAGAGAGGTATGACATAAAAGAATTCCAAGAATTACAATCCGTCAAAATCCGTAAAAACAAATGAAGGAGCAAATCTTGCTCGAAGTGAAGAAAGAGAGAGAGCAAAACACCCTGCACCCTGAAAACCTTTACTTTGTCTATAAAAAAAAATCTGAAGTCCCTTCCTTAGGTGCATCCCCTCCCACCCAGCATGGTACTTTCAAGTGCAGTTCCAGATGTGTTGTCTGCCAGATTCATATCCAGGAGTCTGACTCCTTTTCTGGCCACTCTTCTGTCACTACCCACAGAACCATTGGTAACATCACTTGTAACACCTCTAATGTCATATATCTCATTTCTTGCAGGGTCTGTGGAGTGCAGTATGTAGGTGAGACTAAGAATACGCTCAAGAAGCGTTTCTATGCCCACCGGTCAACGGTCAACACCAAGAAACTAGACACCCCTGTTGGTCATCACTTCAACCTGCCTAACCACTCCATTTCTGATATGATTTTGCAGGGCATTGAATCTCTTGGCCATCGCAAGGACTCAGTTCGCCTCAGCAGAGAGAAAGTGTGGATGAATCGTCTTCGAACTATTCAACCACATGGTCTCAACATCCAACTTGGAAATGATTAATCCTTTTCTTCCTCCATTGTCTTCTGTTACAGATAATCCATCTGGTCTTCCTTGTTTGTGTTTACCCATCTTCCCCCATCTTTCATCCCTTTCCACCTCAATACTGTCCCCCCCCCGCATCATCCCTTCACTCTCACACTCTTTTGTCCGTTCCCACTCCCTGTGACCTTTGATCCTTCCCCTTTCTGGTCCCTCCCCTGTATACAAGACCCCTTGTGGTTTGCCATCTCCCTTTGTTTCTTTGTTCTCTCATCCACCCTCCCCTGCATCTTTCCACACCTTTCACACCTAATCCTCCTTTTGTGTTTCTTCTTTCAGCCCTGCATGTTTGTGTGCACCCCCATGTTAATGTATGTACCTCTGTCATTTCTGTTTTAGCCTCTGAAGAAGAACTTGCTAAGTTCGCAACGTCAGGCCACATTAATTAAAAAAAAACAAATCGTCAAACTTGAACCCATTAGCAAGCATGGGCGTCGCGAGGGGGGCAAGGGGGGGGGGGCCGCAGAAAAGCAAAAAAAAGGAGAAAAAAAGAAAAGAAAAAGAGGCGCGAAGTCATAGTGGTGTAAATTTAATGATTGGGGGGGGGGGCAAAATGTCCCTGCTCCCCTCTGAAACTGACAAATCGAGAATTTGTTGAGAAATACAAGAACTTTTTGGGAAAATATGTTTTGCCCCCCTCTAGAAAAAAATCCTGGCGACGCCATGTTAGCAAGCTGTGGTCAGTTAGGTCCAAGTTGGATTGTGTCCTGGTCACAGAATTACTGTTTTTACAGGGGTTACAAGTGTTCTACTGGAAATAGTGTTTTTTTTTTAAATTCCATGCTGTTTTAGTTCCATAGTGTTGGTCAGCGTAGATGTCATTTCCCTATCGTTTCCTTACTTCTTAGTGTTTTAGAAAAATAACTCGACTATTTATTAGACTTCTTACGTCTTTTGCGCCAATTTTTAAGAGAGAAGAGATGTCTTTACATTGAAAGTCTCAACTCAATTAAAGAGAATGTAGACACAGTTTTGCATGCGAGATGTCCCGTATCGAATTCTTGATGGAAAACAAGGATCCGTTTCCATGGAGGTGCTGAGCCCAGAAATGTACTATTGGCAATTCTAACCGGACGTGACTTATACAAAAAATAATAGAGAAAAAATGTAAACCCCCCCCCCAAAAAAATTTTTTTTCCCCAATCCAGCTCCTACGATTTAATTCTGAAACGTGGACAAAACTGATTTGGGGATCCTGATTTTGGAATAGCAAAATGTTCATGGTAATAAGCTGGAGTAGTTTGTTTTGAAAAAAAAAATGTCACTTGAGCCTATGTTAAAAAAAAGTGCTTTATCCGATACGAACGGTGGAGGGGACATCAATCATTGCTGTCCCAATCCCAAAGACACTTCCCAGTGGGAGACAGTGTGTATTATTATAATATACACAGCAGGAGACCGTCGCGCACCGTACGAACAGTCATTCATGAGTCATAGTCACAAAATGCATAGTCTTTTCGGGAATGAGGTGATGTCGCAATACCAATGTTGTGATATCCCATGAGGGGATTTCCACTTGCCAACCCAGCCTTGACCTCGCGCGCGCAGTCGTACTGAACCTTTGCGTACATACAGTGTGCACATACGCGAGGTCAGACTTCGTGCCCTCTAGACTTGTAGCGTTGCTAAACTATGGAAGGTCCAACACTGCAAAAATGAAGAATAGTTATTGAAGATTACAAACTAGTATTAGATGGTGGAAAATACAAAACTATCAACATACGCCACAAACTAATTTCTAAACATGTCTTCTTTGTATGTAATGGGGTGATATGAGGACTCTTTTTTTAATATGTTGCCACCACTCCCTATACAAATAATGTGCTATCGGGCAGCCCGTACAAAATGGCACTCAATGTTTACAAACAATCGACAGGGCCAGATCACGACGTCGCGGCTAATTGCCCTGGTGCCGGTTGCGTTTTAATCATCATGACTTCTTATTAAGGAGATGGGAATCAGACGTGCGTCAATGAGAGAACTCGACTTCAAACGATCAGAGTTGCAGAATCAGAGACGGCAAATCTCACCTGGAAGTTGCAGGTTTTCTTCAAGCCGGACTAGCTGTTGTGATCTGTACTTGTTGGAGAGGAAATGAATGATGTTCTGAAGCCAGTACGAGATTCAGGAAGTAAGCAAGTTGACAATTTCCATTTGGTAATGTTGCAAACATGAGAAATGATTTATTTAGTCAACTTAGTAGTACTAATGCGCCTATCAATTGCTTCTTCCCTCCCCGGGCTGCCCCAACCAAGACGTGGGGATTGTCACTTTTGAAGTGACAAAGTCCCCACCCCTCGGGCAAAATTTAAGTGACAATCCCCGACCATTTCCCGACATACATACGTGGGGCGCACTAGTGATTGCCTTTCCATACTACGCCAATGGTAACAATGCAAATTTGAGAGACCAAAATCCCCACCCTAGGGCATGAAAAACGTGACCAAATCCCGACATCGGACCTGGGGCAGGGAGGGGGGGGGGACATTTGATAGGCGCATAAGAGGATCGTTACGGCAACCTACTAAACTCGATATTTCAACTGCTAATTGGCCTATCGTTAATTACTGCATTCCGGCCACAACCCTATTGCTAATCTACGGTACATTTTTAACTGTGTAGGCGGTAAAATAAAAACTGACTAAAAACCTGGTCTAGTTCCTGTTCATTATCTGATTGATTTTTTGTAGTTCTTTCTTCTTTTTGAAAGTCGTTGGTTAACAAACAGATTTTGAAAATGACCTTTTTTAAACTTATCCATTTACCTCAGAGACAAAATACGCAATCATATTTTTTCGTCACTTATGCTTGAAGAGCAATATCTTGAAACATTATTTTTTTTTAAATATGCTGAAGAAGTAATGGAACTGTCAAACGGTGTGTTCCCTTTTTTGCCACCGCCTTGTATGTGCATGTTTACAAAGTGACAACACTGGCCTCAACCAGTCACGGTATAATGGTTGAAGCCAATATTTGTTGAACATGAACTCGATGTCCAATTGTCCTTGCAAACGCAATTATAGCAAAGATGAGACGTCAACGGGCCTGTGACTGTCCTATGTTCCGACTCCCCTATGTTCCGACAACCATATATGTTCCGACAACTCGCACATATGATTGTGTTACTCCCGGTTTGGGTTAGGATTATGTAGGGTTATGGTTAGGGTTGGGTAAGGATAAAGGAATAGAAATACAGTCGAACCCTGATAAGAAGAGCACTGTTATAATACAACGTCATGCTTATAACAAGCAAAATGTTAGGTCCAAAATCTTTGGTTTTCTTTCTTTTCCTTCGTTTTCTAATACTGTTAATACAAGGTACCTGTTATAACAAGGTAATTGGCTGAGTCCCAAGGACTTTGTTATAAAGGTGTTCGACTGTATGTGCAGTCGGAACATAGGGGTGTAGCAGTGGCGTATCCGGGGGATGGGGGCGGGGGGGGCACTTTGGCCCCCTGGCGGATTTTTTTGACCTTTTTTTTTCTTTCTGAGCAGTGATTTAAATAAATGTTTATACAGTTCTTCTGACATCAATCCCATAAAAGAAAACCCGCTCAACAACCATTACAATGCGCCGTGAAAATGTCCATATAATGTGTAGTATGCATACTAATGGTCAGTTTTGAAGAGCGCCTCCATTTGGAAGATAGGTACCAACCAACACCCCCCCCCCCCACACACACACACACTTTTTGATTTTACGGAGGGCAAATGTCAGAAGAAAAAAACGTTTCTACATTTCGGCGCGGATGTGCGGTTGCCCCCCCCCCCCCCCCCCCCCGACATCAAAAGCTGGATACGTTACTGGGGTGTCGGAACATAGGGGTGTAACCGACGTCAACTATTTTGGCAAAGTTCTGACTTATTCTTATATCTGCCACCATTCACCGCTTTACAGGCTGATGTACATCACAGGCCTACGTTGAGCTGTCGAACTAGACCAAGGTCTCGGCAGTACACCTCTGGACAATTTAGTCATGGCGAAGAGAACGGGTTCGAGGCTGAAGAGCGATAATGAGTTCATGAATGTTCAGCAGTTGTACGCGTTCAATCCATCATTCAAAGACAGCAAAAACTTTATGAGCTGTCGACTCGAAAAGGGTCAGTTGTCTAGCGGAGTGCAGAGAGTCAAAGACAATAAGGATCGTCATTACGATGACAATCTCGACCGTAACTCGGGCAACGAACTTGTGGCGAAGGGTCCGGGATCCAGGCTTGCAAGTGATGCCGATTTCTGGGAAACGAAACCAGAACGATTGCCAACCAGCAACAATAACTTTGGGGGACTCAGCGTTTGGTGTGATAAGAACAGTATCTCCAGATTAACAGATAAAGTGCGTGTGGGAGACAGGCTTGAGTTCATCAATAGCAATCTGCCGCGTGCGCACTGGGGCATCTACGTCGACGAACTGAAGTTCTTGCCGTGGAGTGTAGTCCACTTCATTCCTGGCACCAAAGAAGGGAGAGCATACTCAGCTTTGACGACTTACTTGCACATCAGTCTCCCATCGAGTAATGGTGCACTCGTTGTTAACTCCATCTATAAATTTGTCAGTTTGCCAGGCGATGAAGTAAGGATTAACAACTCGACGGATAAACATTGGCCACCAGTCAGCACGGGACATATTCGCAAGGAAATCTCGTATCAGCTGAAAGACATACACAAGTGGTCTGTACTCCAGCAAGTGTACGTGCACTTGTGCAGAGTTTCGTTCAAAGAGAGTGAGGACTTTGTGGACTACTGTCGATACGACAGAGATCACCAGCATTACATGTGCCTTCTCAACGGCGAGAAAGTCACCGAATGGTATAGTAAGAGTAGTATCGATTACTTTATTAGTGAGGTTCGCGTAGGAGACAGGCTGGAGTTCGCCGGACGTCAATCTCCGTACGATCGCTGGGGCATCTACATCGGCCAGTGGGGGGTCAACTTTGAGCAGGTAGCTCTCGTCACCCCGAGCGACGAAAACGACGAAACCAGCTCAGGAGCGACTCTTTCGAGTATTGGGTCTTCAGCGAAACCTAAACAAGAACTTCGTGTCAAATCCATAGGGACAGTTCTCGGAAACGATCAAGTCAGAATCAACAACGAAAGAGACCATACCTTGCCACCTTTAGTCAGGACAGACATCTTGGATGAAATCAACCGTCTGTTGCCGGGCAAGACGCACAGGTACGCATGCAAGGTTTCGTTTAATAATGCTAAGGACTTTGTCAACTACTGTCGATACGAAGACTGGCGCATTAACTTCGGGCTAGTCAGCGACTGGTGCGAATCAGGACAGTCATTGCCGCAGTTGCATGTGGGTGACAGGCTAGAGTTCAATCGCACTGCCCTGCCGTACACGCACTGGGGCATCTACGTCGGCGACTGGGGGGATGACCACCACCAAGTGGTCCACTTAGCCCCGGCTGACGGAAACGGGAAAATCTTCTCCAAGAAGAAGAGTTCTGGTTCAGGTCCCTCATCGAAAAACCGACCTGAAGTGTGCGTAAACAACATCTGGGCTGTCACCGGAAGCGATAAGGTCAGAATCAACAACATCAGAGATGAGACCTGGCCACCGTTAGTCAGGACAGCCATATTGGATGAAATCGTGCATCATTTGAAAAGTCAATCAGATGGCCACAAGCCGATGTACAACTTATTTCGCAACAACTGCGAACACTTTGTGAACCACTGTCGGTATGGGAAACACCACAGTGACCAGGTGAGCCTCTTTTCCATAGTCCGTGATCTCTGGAAGACTCAGGCCAGTAAAGACAGTACGAGCAACTGAGATGGGATGCATTCAGCAGTCATCTCTGAAGTAAGTTTTACTATGTTAATTCATTTAGGCCGGGGGCAATAGAGTCCCACCCAAATGGACTGCAGGGGAGAAAAAGTAGCCTGCTGCCTGCTAATCTATCCCCGTCCTGCCTTTAAAGCTAGCCCTCTCCTCCTTAGCCAAAGGTGGATCTGCCTCTGCACCATGTGGAAAGGATGCACAGTGGTATTCCTAACCCCTCGCGACCTCCCCCAATACTGGAACATTTTTTTATATTGAAAGTTGAAATAAAAAAAAAATAAAAAAATCGAAATTTAAAAACATCGACAATTTTAAATGACCCCTTATTGGATCAGGCACACATCTCACAAGGTGGATTTCGTGAAATAAACCACCAAACATGGCGGCATAATCAGCATTTCTCTCGCACCCCCAAATATTAGCCACATACACATCCTGAATGCGATGGATGTCCCTAGTGCTTCCCCTTAGTCCTTGGTATTTAATGTATTTCATTTGTGTTTTCAGCCATGGAAATGCCGGAGTAATACTGGAATCACAGAGGATCAGGAAGAGGCATATGCTTGACCATAGACTTCGCACACGAACGGTTGAGGGCGTTTTGTCATCAATCAAGAGAGGTCCAATGGACGTCGGGTGCATGGGACACACCGCGTGCACCCACTGGTTCCCGTTGTATTGAGTGTTTTGGGGTCGCGTAGGGCAATCATAGTTGTACCCTCTCTGTTTAGCTGTCTAACGGACTTACTGTCTCACTGACTGGCACTGTTGTGACCCAGCTGTTGACTGGTGAAGAGAGCCGGGCAGTGCTGTCTGACAGGGTCACCGACGTAATGCCAAAGTGAATGTGCTAAATCAGTGTAGACCAAATGAATCAAAAGACTTCCAGTGAACCAGTTTAGTTGAAGACCAATGGTACCTATGCCGTCTATCGAATGAGCGATAGGTGAGATTTGACCCTGATCGCATGAGACCATCTGCAATACATGCATAATATTGACTGGTGTTTTCTAGTTAAAGCTATAGTCCATCATTTGCAGCTATCCGAAAAGTAGCTGGCGTAATTATTGTTGAAAAACATACTTGGTTGATAGATAGTAAGGGGACTAAATTCCCTGTGAAATTATTCTTTCTGGCAAGCTGTCATTTTGAAGTAATCAACGAAAGAAGGCCTTTCCAAAGGTGCTTCTTAAGACGTACCGTAGGAAAATTTAAATTAGTAGTTCGTTTTGTTATTTGGCGAAGCGCGTGCAAGCATTGGCACGACGCACACGCACCCCCGGTTGCCATAACTCGTCAGATCAGTGCGCGACATCGCGTAGCTGCATTCGGCTCAGCGAGAACGTGTCTCGGACGAATTCAGGCGCAATTCAAAACATGATTCTGCAACTTTTGATTTGCTGTTTTTCTCAGAATATTCAGCTGAAGTTGAGCTGAAACTTTATCAGGTTAGTTGTTCAGTACCCTTCTTTAGATTTTGAGCACTTTTGTTGCTTCAAACGAACAAAATACACAAATTACAAATGATGGACTATAACTTTAAATCTATATAAATGTATATAATTATTTCGTCTGAAATAGTGTAGAAAGTGTGCCTACCCTTTTTGTGCATGTGCGTTGGCAAAGCCTTATACCTTTCCCAACAAAAACTGTCTTTTTTATTTTTCCTTGTTTTCTCAAATGTATATCCTGCATATTTTTCGATACATAGTTTTTAGTTTTAGCAATTTTGTTGCTTGATGCGAAAATACCCAAACACAGATATTTTATAGCTTAAAACGTGTTTCATATATTTTGTAGTTTAATTTATTTTTATTTGTGTGCATTTTTACAACGTAAATTAATAATTAAAAAGAAAAACTTTTAGCAATAATCAAAGTGATTTAATCCATTGAGACAGTTGCACTACATGCCGGATAACCCACCTTTAAAATAATACCCGCCTCTGCATGTGATTGGCTTAAAATAATTCCAATTCTGATTCTGATTGGTCAAGTGAATGAAAGAGGCTCTTATAACTCCATGAGGTTTTAATCGACTCTTTTTGGTACCATAGAATTCGTTTCCCATCGAATCTACAGGGTGAGAAAAATAACGAAAACCAAATGTCGCGACTATTTTTTCATTGAAGTTCTGCATGTAGCACTTTGAAAATCTAGGATAGAAAAGCCCAAATTCATAATTCCAATTCTGATTCTGATTGGTCAAGTAAATGAGAGAGGCGCTTATAACTCCATGAGGTTTTAATTGCTTCTTTTTGGTACCATAGGATTCGTTTCCCAATCGATTCTACTGGGTGAGAAAAAGAACCCCGAAACCCAGATGTCGGGACTATCGTTTCATTGAAGTTCTGCATGTAGCACTTTCAAAATCTTGGATAGAAAAGCCCAAAATCATAAGGTTGTTTTAAGTACAAAAATCCTTCAAATCACTTATGTACTTTTCTTTTAGTACAAGAATGATTCTTGTACTAAAAGAAAAAGGTGTGCGTTCCCAGCAAAACAAAAACAATTCACATACATCCCTATGTGATTTGTTTTCGTTTTGCCGAAAGAACACTCAATTTTTTTGTGATCCGTGGACAGAACCTTAAAACGGTGGTTGTGTTTAAAATTCCGTTACTTGAAAAGTACATGAGTGATTTGAAAGATTCTTGTTCAAAAAGAAAGCTTATGAATTAAACTTTTATATCCTAGATTTTGAAAATGGTACGTGCAGAACTTCTGAAAAAAAAGGCCCAACATTTGGGTTTCGGTTTTTTTTTACTCAACCTGTATTTTTCGATAATTTTGAGAAACAAAGCTATACGAATTATACATCATTTTGTGTCTTGCGCAACAACATCCGAGGAGATAAATTATGTATACTTTGGGATGATATAATTACATACCATAGTTGAAGTGGACAGAGTTCAGTATTGTGCGTGATTATTTTCTTTCCCTATTGTTCCTGTTCTGTTTTTTGTTTGTTTTTGTTTACCGAGGTTCGATGTCATGAAGCTGCTCATCAGGATCAGCGTATAATTGTTCTGTTCTGAGTATCTTATAATTCTTCTGTTCCTAAAGCAATAATTCAAATGAAATTTCATACCGTAGCTACTAGCGCCCGAATCTCTGCGCTGTTCGAAGTAGGCGCAGCATGCAAGATGCACCAGCGCTATACTATTTACTATAGGTATTCCCGATCATTTTCACTTGTATCACACGAATTCCCTATATCGATACTTTAATTTCGTCCCTGAATATGGCCAAGCTCAATTCTCAATTTGAATTTCAGAAAGCCACCACTAGATTTCATTTTAAGGTTCGGTATAATTCAAATATTTAGCATGCCGATTCGTCTTAAGTTTGTGAAATTCGTCTCGTGAAGCATTCGGCGTTGAATTGAAAAAGCAAATTCGTTTTTTGGTCATTCGTTTTAATGTTGTTGTCTTGACATTTAGTCTCTGGTGACTTAAAACGTTACGAATAAAAATGTGCCCAATCTTTGGACTTATGTAAAGAATTGTGCGCATTAACTAAATTTTAATTTTTAACAAATATTTCCTTATAAATAAAAGTAGTTAGCTGTAAGTTTTAATTTGGTTTTTGATAATTAACATTAGAATCAGGAATAACACTTTAATATAGGTTTTCCCGGCTATTTTAACACTTGTGTCACACGAATTCCCTACATCGATACTTTAATTTCGTCCACGAACATCGCCAAGTTCACTTCTCAATTTGAATTTCAGAAAGCCACCACTAGATTTCATTTAAGGTTCAGTATAATTCAAATTGTTAGCATTCCGATATGTCCAAAATCTTTGAAATTCGTCTCGTGAAGCCATCGGCGTTGAATTAACAAAGCAAATTCGTTTTTTGTCAATCGTTTTCATGTTGTTGTCATTACATTTCGTCCCTGGTGGTTTAAATCTTATACGATCGTCCCTGGTGACTTAAATCTTAGACTTATTTGAAGAATTATGCGAATTAAAACAATGAAATTTAACATATATTTCCTTATATGTATAAATAAAAGAAGTTAGCTGTAAGGTATGAATTTTTATTTCTGTGTTTCACAATTAACATTCGGGTCGAAAATTGACATTTTACAATATGCACTTATGACATGGACACTAAGCATTAAGTTCAAAGAATTAATGCTTAATGTTTATTTGAAGAATATTATGCGAATTAAAACAATGAAATTAAACATATATTTCCTTATATGTGTAAATAAAAGTAGTTAGCTGTAAGGTATGAATTTTTATTTCTGTGTTTCACAATTAACAGGTATGAATTTTTATTTCTGTGTTTCACAATTAACATTCGGGTCGAAAATTGACATTTTACAATATGCACTTATGACATGGACACTAAGCATTAAGTTCAAAGACCTTCTTAATGTTTTTCTTTGATAGACATACCTTATTTCTGTTTACATATATCAAAGAGCAACATTACGAAGGAGTTTGATCTTAATGCTTAATTTCCATATGCTAAGCAAAGAGCATATTATGAAAGTTCAATTTCTGATTTTAATGTTAATTGTCAAAGAAAACTCAAAACTTACAGCTATACTTTCATTTATAAGGAAATATTTGTTAAAAATTAAAATTTAATTAATGCGCAAACAAGTCCAAAGATTGGGCACATTTTTAATCGTAACGTTGTAAGTCACCAGAGACGAAATGTAACGACAAGAACATTAAAACGAATGACAAAAAACGAATTTGCTTTTTCAATTCAACGCCGATTGCTTCACGAGACGAATTTCAAAGATTCTGGACGAATCGGAATGCTAACAATTTGAATTATACTGAACCTTAAATGAAATCTAGTGGTGGCTTTTTGAAATTCAAATTGAGAATTGAGCTTGGCGATGTTCGGGGACGAAATTAAAGTATCGATATAGGAAATTCGTTTGATACAAGTGTTAAAATAGCTGGGAAAACCTATAATATGCTCTTTGCTTAGCACATGGCAATTAAGCATTAAGATAAGACACCTTGAAGTTCGTAACAATTCTACTTATCAATATAAGGTGTTGCCCTTCAAGAATATTGAATTGCAAAACAATAACATCCTACTTGTGACTGAAGTCTAGCTGATTTTTGCCTCCCAAATAATTTAAAAGCAATGTGTTCTACTTTTAAAGCAAACTGCCCGGATGTTGAACAAGCCCCTATATACCACAGACAAGGTTGAATGCAGTATTGGGCAAACCTCTTGAGCGCTTAAAGATAAATTGCACGTGCCCTTCACGAGTTTATTATCTTTGGAATATATTGCTCTTATTTTTCTTACTTTTTTTTCCTGAGCAATGCAAATTTATCCATTTTCTTTTTCAAAAAAGTCAAGGTCCTGCTATTTTAGCCTAAGGAAGCATGGGTGTCGCTCGGTGTTGCCATCCCTTTCCCCTGGGAAAGTTTTTTTTTAAAAAGGAGGGGGGGTGCTGAGAAAAGAAATGCGAAAAATATATATGACAGATTCGAAGTTAAGATGTTACTTTTTATTTAGCAGTATACCAAGAGGCTTGTTTCCGACCTACACTAACTATAATAGCAATTTTCAAATTTAGGCTTCTTGTCCGTTTCGGCTTTATCTCTGGCTTTAAACAACTACATGTATTGCCTTTATTTTGTTCAAAGAGTTTGATATTTTCTGTGGAAAAACATTAACTCATGCTGAGTTGGAATCAGGCGTGCTGAGTTCGAAACAGGCGGAACCGAAATGGATATGAAGCCGAGTTTTGAAAAACCACAAATTGCCCCGCGGTCGGTAGTCTGGTTCCTTGACTCAACAATTACTCGACGCCCATACGTCTAAATAGTAGGTCAGCTTGCAACCGTTGCGGTAGCAGACCAGTAAATAAACTTCCATAGACCCCAATGGTAAATGCTCCCACTTCAAAAATTCGGGAAAAATACTCATAACTCTCCAAGGTGTTCGAGACGCACATCAAATTAAAGCTTATTTCATCATCTTTCATTTTCGTTTCAATTTTCGGGAGGTCAACTGATGACTTTTAGGAGAAATTTCCATCTGAAGATGATCACCCCTGAAAATAGTCCTGAAGCC